ATAAAATTTTTGCCATTTATAGGCCCAGATTGCAAAATTGTTCAGAAGAATCACGTACTGGGATGTGGTTATATATTTTAAGACAATTTATTATCAAAAGAAGTGTTTTTGGGCTCTGATATTGGGATAACTTTTTGTCATACTTTTCAAATAATGTGTAAAAGGACCTACTGAAATAGGTAATGCTGTAAAGATTTCCAAATTAAATTGGCCAGTTATAGCCTATGGTAGATAGGCAAGTACAAAAAATCCTGAACTTCCACTGTGAATGCCTACCGTATTTCAGACTTTGGGTTTATGAGGTTTGTAATTATAGTGAAATGCAAATTGTACAATCAGCACTTGGAGTTTATTCCTGGTTCTTGATTCTCTTCATCCTCATTTTTTGCTTCAAAAAGTTACTGTGATTAATTTTGTTTCTTATGATTGTTTTCATATGTCACACCCTATGTTGGGTAGTAGGCTGTTGTGTGTCTGCATTTTGGTAATTTACAGGTTTATGAAACAGAAAAACTGGGAAACTGATCGTTTTATGTGGATTTTCATTTGGCAGAACGATTTCAATTTTGAGAAGAGAGATTGGATGACTGTTCAACCAAAGGAGTTACCGTCAGGGTCACACTTGGTAGGAATTGGGGCCTGTTATTTGTTCAAGATGTTTGAGTTCGTGAAGCCTTTATGTTAATTGTTTCACTCTCCCTAACTTTGCTTCTTGAGCAGATCATGGGGTTGAACCCTCCTTTCGGAGTTAAAGCATCTCTGGCGAACAAGTTTATTGACAAGGCTCTCGAGTTCAATCCAAAGATTCTTATTCTTATTGTTCCACCAGAAACTCAAAGGTAGCTGCTTTCCATTCTCTCTCTCTCTCTCTCTCACACACACACACACACACACACACACACACACAGAAATGCATCAGCATGGGCTTGCCTTTGAGTTGGACTTAAATCTGTATATAGTTTCTCTTACATTTGGGTCTGTTATTAGGTTAAATGAAAAGAATTCACCTTATGACCTGATTTGGAAAGATGAGCGGTGTCTGTCAGGAAAGGTAAAGTGAGTTGTGTTTGTCCTTGTGGCTGAATCTTAATTGTGTGAATCAAAATTTTTGAATGTGAGTTTAATGGTTGCTTGTCCTCCTTTCAGTCATTCTATCTCCCTGGATCTGTTGATGGGAATGACAGACAATTGGAGCAATGGAATGTGAGGCCACCACCCCTGTATCTTTGGAGTCGTCCTGATTGGTCTGCTGAGAACAAGGCTATAGCTGAAGCGCATGGTCACAACTCTGCATCACAAGGGTTTATGGAAGAAGATCATTCCAACTGCCTAATCCCTGATCATTCAGTAGTTAATGATGAGCATTATGGTCAAACACTTGTGCAGATGGATGATGATCCCATAAAGACTGATAGTCCCAAGGATGTTGCAGGAGGGTCAGTTGCGACGCAGGGATTAGAGGGCTCCTGTAAGATCAGTGTTGACAGAGATGGCCATGTGAGTCCTCGTCATGGGAAGAACCACATTGAAGAGAAACTGCAGTGTGGTGGCAGAGAAGAGCATCAAAGTGGTATGCTTGGGAAATCTTCAAGAAAAAAACTAGATGGTGTAAAGGTTTCTTGTAGTGAGATACGAAAGGAAATGCTGCCACACACTGAGCCTGCTGAAAAAGGAAATCAGCATTCTGAGCCCAGCAATTCTGGTTCAAATATGGAGATAGAAACTACTGATGGTGGGACCCACACCAACGTTGCTGATGATACAGGCAGAAGCTTCGCCATGAACAGTGATGAGGCTTACTCCATTCTGCCTCATAGATGGAGCACTGCTGCCAATCCTGGTTCTGGTTATAGGGTTACAAACTTGGAGCAACCGTTTGTGGGGCATATGAGGGAAAGGTCAGATCGCCTTGGTTATGGACCATATTTGAATCAGGTAGAAGACCCATTTAGGAGGGAGTCTGACATACGCTCGCAGGTTCGCCTTTATGGTCAGCCAGATTTGGATCCTTTAAGAAGTAGTTATCTAGTGGTTCAGAATCCTGTAAGTGGCCAGATTGGATCGTATCCCTCTACTTATGGCCATTCTCATTTTGGTTCAGCAGCTGGGTCATCTTACAGAAGTAATACATCAGCTATGCAGCGGTATGCGCCTCGGTTGGATGAATTGAACCACTTGAGGATGGGTGCCGTAGGACCTGAGCCTAGTTTAGGATATGACCCACACGTGTTCAGTAGCAACGTCCCTTTTGATCCTAGGGCACCCCGACCCGGTCAGCATGGTGGCCCCATGGGGTTTGCTCCTGGTCCTCACCAAACCTATTCAAGCCAAAATTCAGCAGGTTGGCTGAACGAGTAAAGTATGTTCCATGTGATCTGTAGGTTTTGGCTTCTGTACATAGATTAGCATATGCTTATGAAGATGTATTGCAACCTTTTACTTCATTTCACTGTACTATTTTAGTTGCTTCTTGAAGTGAAACTTTTTTGACTTTCTATTGCTTTGTCCTCCCATGTTTGGCATCCCGTTTTAATTTCAGATCTTAATATTTGGGCTCCTGTGGTCATGCCGTGTTACTTTTATTTGAAAATGCCAAGATGATCACAATCCCGAAGGTTGTGTTTGGATGAGGCATTTTGAAGGTGGTTTTTTGCTTATTGCTCAGAAATGAAGACGATTTTCTTAAATCCTTCGGTTTGGTATAACTTGTTCATAATAAATAATGAGTTAAATAATTAAGATGATAAATAACAATAGTATACAGCGGATTACATCGTTTGGTTAAATCAAATATTTCAATTTCACTATGCGATAAATTTTACAAGCAATTTTTGCTAGAAAGTTGATCCCTTGTAGGTATACACATTCTTTGCAATCCTTATTACTTCTCTGAGTTTTAACTGTCAACTGTAATTATTAAAGTTACCACCAACAAAAGTAATTGATCAGAATAGTAAAACAGTGTTATTCCTATTGCACACAAGTGTTTCTTCACATAAAGGGCCAATGCCAGTGCAATTAAGGCCCAATTAACAAAGTTCGACATTTTCCGATGCAAAACGAAACCATAAAAACAAGGTTAAACATTTAAACGAAGGCAGTCTAAAGTTTGGTGTATTTTGAGAGAAGCTGAGGGAGAGAGAATACAAAACAAGAGGAAGGAATCAAGAAATGGATGGTGAAATCAACAACTTCATCAAGGTATGGATCCTGACCAACACCTCTCTATGTTATTGTTACTACATAGCAGCCAAAATCCCAAAGGGCATCATCAGGTTCATCTCTCTCCTCCCCATCTTCTACATCTTCATCATCCTCCCCTTGAATCTCCACTCATTCCATCTCGGTGGGCCCACAACTTTCTTTCTGGTTTGGCTTGGCATCTTCAAGCTCCTCCTCTTCTCCTTTAACCTTGGCCCTTTATCCCCAACCCCACCAACACTTGTTCAATTCATCTCCATAGCTTGCCTTCCCATCAAAATCAAACAAAACCCACCTCAAAAATCACCCCAAAACACAGATCTAAACCCTCTAACCCCTCAAAATAACACGAACCCATCTCACCAAACCACCCCAAAACCCAAGAAATCTGTGAACCCAATTGATCAAACCCTCACAAATGTGCCCAATAAGTCAATTTTGCTGGCCATAAAAGTCTTGCTTTTGGCTTTGGTCATTAGGACATATGAATATAGACCACGTTTACACCCATACATAATCTTGGCTCTGTACTGCTGCCACATGTACCTTGGCATAGAACTTTTGCTGGCCTTGAGCGCTGTCCCAGCTCGAGCCATACTCGGTTTTGAGCTCGAGCCGCAGTTCACCGAGCCCTACCTTTCCACTTCGCTTCAAGACTTTTGGGGCCGCAGGTGGAACCTCATGGTCACCAACATCCTACGCCCCGTCGCCTACGACCCCGTACGCCGTATATCTATGCGTATACTTGGGCCTCGGTGGGCCCGGTTCTTGGCCGTGATGTCCACTTTTGCGGTCTCAGGTTTAATGCACGAGGCGATATACTATTATCTCACACGTGTGCCTCCCACGTGGGAAGTGACGTGGTTCTTCATCCTACATGGCGTTTGCGTGGCAGTTGAGGTAGAGGTGAAGAAGGCGGCGACTGACAGGTGGCGGTTGCACCCGGTGGTTTCGATGCCGTTGACGATAGTGTTTTTGGCTGTGACAGGCAATTGGCTGTTCTTTCCTCAGCTGCTGAGAAATGGTGTGGATTTGAAGGCTATAAATGAGTATGGGATTATGGTAGATTTTGTCAAGGCTCATCTGCCCTTTGCACATTATTGGTGCAAAAGATGATAGTTGATTGATACACACTTAATGTGTAGGTGCTCAATTTTTATGCCAAAAAGGATCCATTGCTCAATTTTATTTGTTTCCTTTTATTTGTGACATAACTATTACATTAACACAAAATTAGTTAACAATAAAAAAAAATTATACAGATCATTCGCATGTGCATCAACAAATTTCATATTCAAAATACACATCCCAAGGTTTTAAAATAATATTCCTCGCACAAATGAAAGGAATAAATGTTATAAAATCATCCACCCACAATTTTATACTACGCAATTTGTATATATATATATATAAATTAAAAAAATTGTACTATGCAATGACAAAGGTGCATTTTTGCTCACCACTTTAACTATAGGTGTACCTTCACCACCATCCTCAATGCTTGACACGTGTCCATAAATATAACCATAGTTAACTTTTGCTTTGTATTTATGAAATTATGATTACATCTATGGACACGTGTCAAGCATTGAGGATGATGGTGAGGGTACACCTATAGTTAATGACAAATGGTTCAACCAAGACGGCTTTGAATAAATTATTCAAATGATTTAAACACTACTCATGCCTTGTAGGGTCCAAACTAAATATTGACTAAGAACAAAACTTGGCCCAATCCTTAGCGAGGGTTTGGCTTGGTTGGTATTTCACCTGCTTAGCCGAAAAAAGCAAGACAGGAACAAGAAAAATGAAATAAACCATGAGCTTATTAACAATTTTGGGACACAGATTGTCTAGGCTCATGATAAGATAAGCCAATAGATAGGTTGAGGCTGGGACCAAATCACACAAGTTAAAGAGCATCAAACGATCATGGGGATGGAGGATGAAATCAAGAGATTAATCAAGGTATTCCTCTCCATCTTGGCCTCTCTTTGCTACACCTATTTCATAGCTTCTAAGATTCCCAAAGGCAAACTCAGGTTCTTCTCTCTCCTCCCCATCTTCTGCCTCTTCACCATCCTCCCTCTCTCTCTCTCCACTGCCCTCCCTGCTGGAGTTATTGCCTTGTTCATCACCTGGCTTGGTAGCTTCAAGCTCCTCCTGTTCTCCTTTGGTCTGGGCCCACTTTCATCTGGCCCACCACTAAACTCCCTCCTCCTCTTCATCTTCACCACTTGTCTCCCAATCAAGGCAAAGCAAGATGGACAACACCACCACCAAATTGCTCCAAACCACAAGACACCTCAAAACCCTAAATTGCCTCTCAATTTGCCAACCAAAGTCTTGCTTTTTGGCATATTGGTTGCTCTAACTGACTTCACAAAATATGTGCACCCCAACATTTTATTAGCCCAGTATTGCTGCATGTTGTATCTTTTTGTGGACATAATAGTAGGCTTGAGCAATGCTACCATGCGAGCCCTTCTTGGCATGCAACTCGAATCACCGTCCAATGAGCCTTACCTTTCAACTTCGCTACAAGATTTCTGGGGCCGGAGGTGGAACCTCATGGTAACAAATACACTGCGTCACACCGTACATAAGCCCATGCGGTCGGCTATGGAGACCTTCTTGGGGCCTAAGTGGGCCCCGCTGCCGGCCGTCTTGGCAGCCTTTTTAGTATCCGGTCTGATGCACGAGCTCATATTTTTCTTCATGACACGTGTGCCTCCCACGTGGGAAGTGACGTGGTATTTTGTTCTCCATGGGATGTGTTTGGTGGTGGAGTTTGGTGTGAAGAGAGCGTTAAGTGGTGGAAGGTGGCAGCTGCATTGGATTGTGTCAACGCCATTGACCATCGTGTTTGTGGTGGTGACCGCGACTTGGCTGTTCTTTCCACCGTTAGTGAGGAACGGCGTGGACGCAAGAGCTATTGAAGAGTGCAAGGAATTGGTAGAATTTATGAAGGAAAAGTTAAAATGGGATGGTCTGCACAAAATTTAAGCGCTCTTGTTGCTTTAATTGTTTGTACTCATGTGTTTAAAATTGTTTATTTTGAGGCTAAACTGGTGATTAGCTCCCGGAATTTGTACTTAACTTTCAATTGATTTCATATCCTTTTTTTTAGAAAATTAAGGATATGAACTTTTTTTCTTCGCCAATTTCCGTCTGTCGTATAAATCCTCAACATTTCAATAATCCTATTTTAGAGAATTAATGAATATTGCAATATGAATTGTATACAACACTACCAAAAATATCAACAGTTGTTACTTTTTTTTATTGGTGACTGACTATTGGCATGTTTAGTCACTTTTTTGGTGAGTAAAAGCTTCAGTCACAGTACAGTTACAAATTTGGACATTGTTACACATGAAGCGGTGACGATAGCCCATTGTCACCATTCTAATAACATTCGTGACAAGCATTTCATTGACTTTCAAAAGCATCTAAAGTACAATGGGGCACAACATATAGCCAATTAACTTCAATGTATACATATATTTTATTAAGTATTTGATTTATTGGTATACTTCTTACTTTTCATATATTTTATTAAGTATTAAGTATGAAATTTATATTTGTGTATGAAATTTATTGAAAATAATTACATTTTCTATTGGTATGTTTCTTGCTTTTCATTTTCCAATGATTAATAAAATATGCAGCCATTAGCCAATTAACTTCAATGTATACATATATTTTATTAAGTATTTGATTTATTGGTATATTTCTTACTTTTCATATATTTTATTAAGTATTAAGTATGAAATTTATATTTGTGTATTAAATTTATTGAAAATAATTACATTTTCTATTGGTATGTTTCTTGCTTTTCATTTTCCAATGATTAATAAAATATGCAGCCATAAAGATATTGATGTCCGGACTTGATTGCAATTTCATTAGAATTCCAAAAACAATTCAATAAAGATATTGACTTTCATTGCAATTTCCTCTACAGTAAACATTTCAATAAACATATTGGCTTTGATTTCATCTTCATTACATTTTACAAATATTCAATAAATATATACGGCTATGATCCTTTGAATCTCCACCACCTCAATGACCTCTATTTCCGAATTTGGTTTGTTTAACCCATGTTGTCCGCATCCAAATAAGCAATATTGCCACATCCAACAAGCAATACCAGTGCCAAATCAGAGCCTAGCACACGGAAAATAACCTCATCAGATCACCACTGAAACTAAGTCCAGTACTTGACTAGAGTGATGAACTATCAACAAATCTGCAGTAACAAAACTACTTTCATACCCATAAGAAGAGAACTTCTGCACATTACATATGTTGATGAAAATGTTGATGGGGGGAACTGCTTCAGTTGGTCAGGGGCCCTGATTCGGGCCTGGGCCAGAGGCACCCCATGTTATCCGGTTGAATCGCTCTCCCTGAACGACCTCCGCACTTCGAGCAGCTAGACTGTTAGAAGAGGGGTGGCTGGTGCGATACCAGTCAAACACTCTCTGATGGTTAAGTTAATAGCTGGTTTGAAATGGAGAATGAATGTAGAGTTTCTGGGTGAGAATAGTTATTACCTTTATCATAATGTAGGTGAAGAGTATTTATAGAGGGAGAAGGAGATATGATTCAATCTAGCCAGGAAAGATCAGATCTCTTTAAATCTTGGGAGAAAGAAGATCTTCAGCCATTCTGCATGCTGGGATCAGAGAGTGGTTATGGCCATCAGTCACTGTGCTAATTATCAGGGATCTAGCAACAAGACAACACTTGACTTGGATATGAAGCGCATTAAATTAATGCCCTTTCTTAGCCATCATGCTGGTATTAGGTTCTTGAAATGACAGTCTGACAAGGGCCAAGGTCGGGTCGGTATACTAGTACTTCTGCCTTTCTATTCTCGTGACATCTTGATGGAGATATTTCAGCTAGCATTGCGTGATATGGCAGCTAGCACAGAACCGGCCTATACAACACCGACCAATATCGCTCTTCCTGCAGCTGAACCAGTCGGCGTTGCCCTTCTGGCAGCTGAACCAGTCAATGTCAAGAGAGGGGGAGGTTTTGGCAGAGTAAGGGCGAGCGAGGGGGAGGTCTTGGCGGAGTAGGTGACTGTGTGGGTGTTGGGCTTGGGCTTGGGAGAAGAGAGACAAAGAGAGGTGGGGTGTCTTGAGAAGTTTTGTGGTGAGAGGGTGGTTGCTGGGTGGGTGATGTTGGGTAGTGGCTTGTTGGGTGAGGTTGGAGTGGTGAGGGTAAGGGTAGCTTTAGGTTGGGTGATAGTTGTGGTTTGATAGTGAAGTTAGGAAGGGGGAGGGGACGGGAGAGAAAGGGAGAAGAAGAGAGTTTTTAATTTTTAATTTTTATAAATTAATTTTTTTCATTTTGTATTGTTTATTTTTAAAAGGACTGAATTTTTTAATAATTCGACCGAATTGCCTTTCCACAAGTAATGGAGCAGACATGAGAAATTGTCCTTGAATTGCTTCAAATAAAAACCACAGAGACAAAATTGACCAAATTGAAAAGACAAAAACCGAAGTGGTAAAAATGGCAAACTACAAGGGCCAGAAGTGACTTTTTGCCTTGTTTTTAACATGTTTGTTAGTTTTTCTCTTGAAATTGGTACTTTAGATGTCATTTTGATGTCTTTAATTGTACTGTTGAAGTTTATCTTTAATAAAAAAAAAAGTCATAGAAATTGATTCTAATCACACATAGACCCGTTAGCGATGTATGAAACGGATTCTAGCCAAGTCATAGACACCGGTTCTAATGAAGTGGATCTCAAGATCCACTTTATTAGAACCATGAAATTTTCCTTTTTGCCCTCTCTAAGGTTTTTATTGATGACACAAATTAGAAAAGGAAATTGCGAGGATAGATTTCAAAAGAAATCAGCACACAAACAACTTAAACTTCAATTGCTAGACATTTTGACACTATGATCATTATGTAGAGTACATAGATAAACCTTAATTAAAACCAGGCTTATGATTGAGAGTTCATTATGTAGAGTACTCAACCAAATGACCTTTTTATTGACATACAAAAATATAGTAGTACTCCGACGACCACAGATTATCAAATTCTTTGTTTCAGTCTCAGCAGTTCCAGGTCCTGGTTTTTCATTGAGGCCATGGTCTCGACCAAGTCCATTCCCTCCTCAACTGTAGGGGTCATGCTCATGTTAGAGAAGTACCTTTTCTTCCATGGTTGTAGCCGCTGCGTCCATAGGTACATTGCCCTCCATGTCCGACTTTCTCGTACACACCTTTCCACACTATATATATAAAGCAAAAGGAAGAAAATGGTAAAACATTCAAAATATCAAAAAATGCTCTTGGTTAATGCAAACATTAAGAATTGAAATTATTAATTAAATAAGGATAATATGGTAAATTCACACTTTTTCATATTAAAAAAATTAAAATTAAAAGAAAAATAAGATATGCATCCTATTTTTATGGAACACAACTACCCATTATTTTTTTAATTCTAAAATAAATTTAAAATTTTTATAAAAAAAAAGCCTCTTGCAAGCGCGAAAATGCGTGCAGATAAGCTAGTTATTCATAAAGAAAGAATTGAAAAAAAGAAGAAGACAGATGTCACTTAACAGAACCTTATTGATCAGTTTGCATTCTGTAAGGAGCAAAGCATACAATATTCAAAATTACTAAACATCCACATGTCCCTAATCATAAGAAGTTCTCTTCTGACCATGAAATTTCTTATGTACAATCTTTTATTATGTGAGAGGTCACTTAAATAAGGTTATTTGAACATATATATAGACACACATATATAATATATTCGTATAAAAAATAGACATATATATATAGTCCTCTATTTAGGGATCTCTCAAATAATTTTATTTGAGGGACATCTTTTAAGGAATACAATGCGGAGTAAGCCCTACAATAGTGTCCCTCAATAAAAACTCTCTCTCTATATATATAATGTATTCCAGATTCGTAGTTTGGCCTAAAAAAGGATGTTCCAAGTTCATAGCATGTTAATTATTGTGCAGATTGGAATGCGCCTAATTAAATTCACGAACCGGTGGAAAAAAGAGACAAATATATATGTTTAAGTTAAGAAAGAGAAAAACTCACGATTATTATGCACCCGGCGAAGCCGAGGAAAAGGACGACAGCAGCAAACACAGCGCCAACAATATAAAGGCGAAGAAAACGTGTGTCCATCATATTTTTCTTAACACAAGGTGAAGATAATGTGTCTTGCCTCTCCCTATTTATAGACCCTTTAAAAGCATTATATTTTCTTAACAACACAAGAAGACGAAAGGTCTTCGAGGATACCGTGTCAATTGATCACACCAATAGAAACATCTTCCAAGAAGAAAAATAAGTGGTTGTCTTGTGATATTTGGATTACGTTGGATTATAAAGATCCCAAATAAATTCTAAATTTCAGATATTAGATGATATGATGCTAACAAGTTATAAAAAGATTTTTATTACTATCGTGTTCGGATGAAATATACCTGAGTGATTTGGAGTAGAAAAACATTTGCTGACCACCTCACCTCTCTAATAAATATATGTATATGAGTATATGAAATCAAGAGGTAGTCAATAAAGATGATACATATATGTCGTTATTACTATCTACAATATTAATGATTGAACACTTACAAGTAAGAGACTTGTAACTTAAGTGGTTAAGAACATTTGCCCATGCATCTGAGGTCTTAGATTCAATTCCCTTCTCTTCGAATATCGCTTGTATAAAAAAAATGTTTATTAGTGATCAAATAGTAAAAAATAAAAAGAAAAAAAAGGAAAATACTTTGAAGTACTCCCAACATACCTTTTAACAAACGGAAGATTAAACATTATAAATAACTAAATAAAGGTTCAAAACTTATGCTTTAGTTTGTTTATATATTTAGAAGGAAAATGACCATTGTTTCATGCGTCTGTCTATTTCCATAGACTTATTACTTATGGATCAAATTAAGGCAACATGCAAAATATCTGGGTTCAAAAAAGAAGTTTGAAAAGAAAGACAATGTCAAGCACTGAGTAAGGGTAAAATTTTGTTTCAAGGACATTGCAATTCTGCAAGTCTCTACAGTTATGGCATGTTTTCTAACCCGTAATTGGATTAGGAGGACTTGAATTGAGGATGAATTAAATTGAGGTGAATTAGATTTCGGATTCTTATTGAAGTTATTTACTAAACTATATGGATTGATGGGAGTTAGATTCCGGAGTCCTATTGAAGTTGTTTACTAAACCATATGGAATTGGAGTATGAGTGGTCCTAATTACTAAAATGTCCTCGTTGTTGGATTAAAATAGATGACAAATTTGGAATTTTGAAAATTGTGTGAGGATATAATGGGTACAAAAGATGAATTCCTAATGGGTTAGTTATCTAGGAATTAGAATACTACATCCCACTCAAGAATTGAATTTCTCCAAAATCAGGAATTTAATTCCTAATTTTATGTGGGCCCGACTTAATTTTCAATTTCTTGATGTGAAGTAAACACAAGAATCCTCCATAGATGGAATTCAATTCCTGATTACTAAACACACTATTAGTGTTTTATTTACTAATTTTGGAATTTCGTTTTGTTTATTTACTTTTATATACTATTATTGTGTTTATTTAATTATTATAATTAAACAATAGTAATACTGATTGTTGTTGAGCGAACAATGTTGACTCTGGCAGGTCCACAGACGTTGACGACCAAAAAGGACATTTAAGTCAAGCTAGATAGATACAAACCCAGCTGAAGTCGAAAGGGGATTATTTATTTCAAATGTGCGGCCCTTTCCCTACGTTCGCCCGTTAGCGATCCGGTTGTTAGTGATCCGGTCAAAGAAATGCCCCCAGCGCCCGTTAGCGATCCGGTTGTTAGTGATCCGGTCAAAGAAATGCCCCCATCGTCCGTTAGCGATCTGGTCAAAGAAATGCCCCTATCGCCCCTTTCCCTGCGTTAGCGATCCGGTCAAAGAAATGCCCCCATTACCCCAAAAATGGTTTCACTCTATGTGAGTGCTCCCAAGGGAATCTCCAACTCAACAAGGCCTCGGTCAATAGCGTCATGGCATGCATGATAACACTTTCATATAGCATGTCATTATTGTTCGAAAATAGCAAAACAGTGTTATTCTCGTTGCAACTAAATTTTTCTCATATCTAGTGACATAGAGTACCATAACTAGTATTTTTGCTCGAATCCTACAATCCTAAAGAACCCTAGCTTTATTAACTGTCTAAAAAGTGTTATAATTTTTTTTTTCTTCTGGTTAACATTTTTTTTAGTTACTTTTAGGATTTATGTAATTGTAATTTACTTTTATGAACATTTTAACTTAAAAATTATAAAATTTTGGAAAAACAATTATAAGTTGTAGTTTATTTAGTCAAGTTTTCAGTGTGGAACTTTTTATTCTTCAACACGGCCCCTCACGTGGGACCACCACATAGTGGGCCACACGTGGAGCCAAATCCACATCGAAATTAATCATCTAGGTCTATGTGCAGCGGAAGATTCATAGGTTATAGTTTGAGTCGAAGTCGGTTGGATCGATGACAATACCTAGTCAAGGTGTGGCCAGTCAGTCGGGTCGGTCCACACCCAATCAAGGTGTGGCAGGTCTGAGTCGGAGTTTGGGTCTGGATTGGGGTTCCATGTTAAATTTCAGAGGGACGGGCAAGTGGCCCACCATTAACAACACCGATATTGTCCTCAACTTAACCACACACAAAACCTAATAGGTATGAGGTTTTATCACAAAAAGCCTCGGTGTTAGTAAGAGTGGAACCAATTATTATAAGTTATAGTTTATTTAGTTAGGTTTCCAATGTGGGACTGTATATTTTTCAACAAATATGAATGGGTAATGAATGACACAAAGATATCACATGCATTTTTAATTTTGTAAATTATCAATTTAGGTACAAAGGTATATACTAGATTTTTGAGAGAGTCAGTTATGAGATTTTAGGGGCTCTGAGCAACATTGAAAAAATGGGCCCTCCATACATATAATTCAGCAAAAAATTTAATTTATTTTGTTGTTTTGTCTAGTGGATAAATATACCAAGAATATATCTCAACATGAAAATAAGGTTAACTATAGCAAATGTCCTTGGACTATACCCCATTTTGCATTTTCGTTCCTAAGAAATTTCAATAATAGTTGATGTCGTCCTCCAATTAGGTTGCGTGTTGCACCACTGAAATTCTTCATTAAACGTATGCGTTGGGCTTGAAATCTAGCACAAGGATAGGCCTCATCATTTGGCCCGCGGGCCCGCCCGGCCCATTGAAAAAAAGCCAGGCCTGGCCTGTTATGGGCTTTGAGATGGCCTGGCCCGCATTGGGTTGGGCTGGGCTTGGGCTTGGGTGTTTAAAGCCCAGCTTGGTCCGATTAACAACAAGAAAGCCCGGCCCGACCCGCCAACAAAAGCTCGGCCCATTAGGCCCGTATACATATATAATTATGTATAAATAAGGGTTTAGGATTAGGATTATATCACTTGAATCACAAACCCCCCTCTTTCATTTTTTTGGTGTGTGTTTACTTGTTTGAAACGTTGTGTTGGTTTCCATTGAATTCTACTCGTTCCTAGTTTATAATTTGATGATTAGCACATTAATTTGTGTCATTTATTAATACAACAATTATATATGTATAAAATAAGACAAACAACATATCATATCACCAAACATAATCATACCACCAAATATGGAGGGGAAGTAGAAAATACATTGCATCCACACGATAATAATGTCCGAACATCCGCATAGGAGAAGTTATCACGCATGAATTTTTGGTGGGCCCTGTCCGCACGTTATTTTTGGTGGGCCCTATGTAGAGGCTCCACTTACAGCCACTCAATCAGAAAAACTTATCTGATACAGGGATATCACTGTTTTGCTATATATCCAAGTCAATCAGAGACTGCCAAGTGGAAAAGTTATCATGCATGGCATGCTATGATTGGCCGAGTATAGCAAAATAATGTTATTCCCATTTTACACAAGTTTTTCTACCACTCAAGGCCTACCATGAGTGGTGGGGGTAAGTTCTTGCAAGATAGAATAGAGAAAAAAAGTAGGACGTGTGGGTGACTGTAAATGTTAAGGTTTGCTTACTATAGTATCCTTAATTTATAAAGAGGTATTTACACTAATACCCATGAGATTTTTGGTGTTTTCAAACCTATATTTTTCAAAAATTATACTAACACCTCGTGAGATTTTAGATTGTTCTCACAAAACCCCTTTCGTCAATTTTCCCTTCCAAAAATTGCATGTCATAAAAAAGTTTTCTCCAAATGACAAAGCTAACATCAAAAGATTAGATTGCATATAAACCTGTTGAGGTTTTGATGACGTCAACAATTTTTGTATGGAAATTAACGTAAAGGGTTTTGTGAAAACAGTTTGAAACCTCAAGAGGTGTTAATATAATTTTTGAAACTTCAAGGGTGTCAATGTAAATAAATCATTTCAATTTAATATTAAAATTGGTTTACCTAGAAGGAACATTATTGAACTTTTAATCTCAATTTTTAGTGTTTTTTTTTTTGGGAAAGAGAATTCATTCATAGAACCAAAGACGTACAAAAAAAGACATGATACAGTGGCCTCGTTAAAACCTTCCTAGGACAACCTCATGGGACAAACCCTAGGAGAGGAAAGAGTACCACACATGTCATGGACTAACAAGAGAGTCTGATTCGGTCACTTTGGACCAATACAATAAAAGAACAAATCAAAAAACAAAACTAACACATAGACCTCCGACGAGAACCGCAACTATAGACCAACACAGCAGACATACAGTCAAAAGAAACATTCTATTAGCAAAATCATAGTCCTTTGACACACACACAAACTGCAAGGCATACCATAGAAGAAACTAGGAGAGAACACGTAGGAGAAACACATAAACAACATCAAAAGAACCCCTGAGAAGCACTCTACTTCAACTCAGAATCGGACAAAGTAAACCTCCTATGACCAAGCATAGTTCTTTGGTTGGCGCAGAGTAGAGAAGAGCACCACATCCCAATAACTACCACCAGCGTCGCTTCTACCGCCGCCATTGAAACAGAGACAAAACATTAGCCACCAAGTATCACAACTCTCATGAGGAGAGACAAAATCCAACGTTGCCACATAAACAACAATAAAAGGACCCCCGAGAAGCACTCCACTTTAACTCATA